CGTATTTATGAAAAAAAATTATTAATTGCACCTTAAAAGATCTAAATTGCCTTATATTATTTAACATGATATTTTGAAAAAAAAAATGCCTTATAATATTGAATAGAGAGACTTTTGTTTAAAAGCTAATATCTTTGTCAACTCCACTTCTCGCCACTTTACTCAACTTCCTATCAATTAGAATCTTTTGTGGGCAGTCTTCTATGTGATGTTAATATTAATTGTATGAGTACGAATCTAAAATAAGAGCTTATCATAATTTCACTACCATACAAAGTTAGTTGAGTCTCACGTTTCAATTAAGATATAAAAGGAAAAAGAAAGAAAAGGAAGTGAAACGTTTCAATTTTTAGATGATTAAGCAAAAATGCAAGGCCAGGAATTATTAATTAATCCTCCCTCCAATTTAAAATATAAACATTTTTTTAACTAACATTGATTTAAATAAAAGAGCTTGGCTCTTTTAGACTCTCGAATCCAAAAAATTAGGGCTTGTTTGGTTTCTATTCTCATTTTTTGCTTTTTAAAAACTGTTTTATAAATATGTTTTCAAAATTATTTTTAAAACAAAAATAAAATAAAAAGCCATTTGGTTATGTAATTTAAAAATAATTTTAGAATTAAAAAATGAACTGATGGTGATGATTATAGGCAGTTAATGATGGTGATTAATAATAGAAAATAGTCAAGGGTAACTATAATTTTAATAATCAAATAAATGTATTTTAAAAATAAGAAAATAAAATGAAAAAAACTTAAAGTTGTTTCTATTTTTTTAAAAAAAACAAAAAAAATGAAAACAGTTTTGAAAATAACTAAATGAAAAACAATTATCCAAATAAATTTAAATTTTTTTATTTTAAAAAATAAAAATTAGTTTTTAAAAATAGAAAACAAACAAGCTCTTAATTTTCATAAACTCATTTTCTATTTTAAGTGCAACATTTTTGAACTCGTAATTTTAGAGTGGGTTGGCCTACATGCCTGTTTTTCCAACTCTTTAACAAAGTTAACACAAAAGGAAAAGACAACAAATGTGCAAAAAATCTTACATACTCTATCACTTTTAATTATAAAATATTTTTAAATAAAATTATACATGTTAATAAGATTATTAAGTACACTTTATAATTTAATTTATTTCAAAACAATATTATACATTTTTTAAAATGACTTTCATTTAATACTATATTTATAAAAGAATATTAAAAAGAGATAATATAATAAGAAAAATAATATTAAAAAATATTATAAATAAAATTTTATTTTTATCAAAATATTTTATATTTTGAGATGTTAAATTTTTTAAAAAAATATTTTATAATTTAAAATGAAAGAAGTAGCATACAGGTCCGTGGTCGGTCGCTGCTATGCCCATGGAAAATGACTAATTTGAATAATTGCTTACGTATTTATTACGGAATGTGCGCACACGCGTTTGTTTTGGGAATGGATATTGATTAATGCGGAACAAAGTGACATTCATAGCTCATGTATATTGAATTATTCTTGGCAACTTTTTTTGACCATTTATAAGTGTTTCTTTTTTTCTGGTCGACCTTGACTCGTTAATTATTTAGCGACATGATCAGTACCAATTCAATCCATCCGGATCATCTTTAGCTAGATAAGCCACATGACTACTGCTTTTTGAACCTCTCATTAATTATCAATTCAATTTAGGATAAAAGTCCATTTTTGCTCTTAAAAATATTTTGATAGGAACATTCAACAGCCTAAAATCTTTCTTGTAGTATTTTTATTCTTTAAGTAATTAAAAATGTAACAAATTTGTCCCACCCTGTTAAATCTCCAAATGTTGATCATTATGTTGGGTAAGAGAGGGAGAAGTTTGACTTATAAGGGCAGGTGTCATCATATGTGAAGTTAAGTGGAAGAGTAGCAAAAGGACAAAATGGACATTTACTCTCTACATTGCTTTCTCACTCTTCAATTTTTATTTTATTTTATTTTAAAAAACACAACTAAACAAAGCAAAGAAGTCATTTGTCTCTTCTTCCCTTGTGTTTGTCATCATTGTTGTCTTCTTTCCTATAGTGAACCTTGAAGATGAAAGAATCATGCAAGAAGAACTCTCATTTCCCATTTTACTAAGAGGTAGAGTTATCAAAGCCGCCAATCCTCATAGCCAGGTTGCTTTGAACTTGCCAAGCAAGTGAAACATCTCTTCACAATGCTCCAGTCCATCGTTCAACTTGCCTCCACTACTCCCTCTCTCTATGATCCGCCCGTTCATTGGATTGTCACCGATGTCTCCAAGAATCTCAAGCAAGCCTTAACCCTTGTCTGAAAGTGTGAGAAATATAGTTTGGTTCTTCATCAAATCTTCTCCATTACCTATACTGCTGACTTCTGAAAAGTTTTGAACCTTCTTGAATCTTCTATCCACAACATGAAGTAGCTTCTTAGTATCTTTGATTCCGATGGTGGTACCGAATTGGCTATCCACAACATGAAGCACCAACCCGATTCTCACTCTTGGATTTGGTCCTACATAGCCACAATTCAAATGGGTCCAAGCACAGCTAAAGTCTAAATGTCCATTTTGTCCTTTTGATTTCAATCTATTCTTCCACCCAACTCCACATTGGATTACACCTATTATTACAAGTCAAATTTCTCCCTCTCTCACCCAACTTAACAATCAACATTTGGAGATTTAAAACGTAGGGCAAATTTGACACGTTTTAATTACTTAAAAGGCACAAATACTATGACAAAGACTTTAGGCACTAGGTGCTCCTAAAAAAATATTTTAAGGGCAAAAGTAGACCTTTAACCTTCAATTTATTGCATTTCAAGTTTTTATAACCTTTTGGAATCATAAGACCCACCTAGACCTAGAATTCATTCCATGCATGCCATCTTCTTCCTTTTCCCACTAATAATTGATAAAATGTGTGTACTTTTTATTTTAAATACAATAGTCATTCATAGTATTTTAGATTTTTTTTTTTTAATAATGTTTCTCTTATAAAAATAATGTTTTTGTTTTTGTTTATCTTGAGGGAAAATACAATTGTTGATTGTTATACTATTGTTGAGAGCCTCTCCAAGACTCTTATAACTTTAGAAGAGATTCAATGTGGTAAGCTAGTAAGACAAATAATGGCCAAATTTTTAAATTAACGATCAATACAATCAAAATTGTTTGACATGGAAAATGGGGTGCACAAGGGCTAGTCAAGGTTCCTTCTTGATGCCCAACTCTAAGTATGAATGGCCTGCATATTGCAGCCTGTTGCCTAGCCTTTCTTGTGAGATGTTCAAGCATTTTGGGCTGTTGCCTTGTCCATCATATGATAAGAAAATTTTACTAATTCAAACTTGGTAAACATCTGGAAAAAAAAGAGGAGTATTTAGGGAAAAAGATACAAAAAAAAAACAATTATAAATTAATGTGCCACAAATTGAAAAAGAGAACCTTGGTAAGCTTTTGGAACCTAACTTACTTAAACTTTTATCTATATAAAAAAAGAGAAAAAATTAATTGTAAAATGAAAGAAAGAAATAAACGTGATAAAGTCTTAAACATTACAAGAATATTAATATGAACTTCAGAAAAGGTGATTTATGTATGTATTTTTTTAATAAAACCATAATTTCTATGACATGAGTCAAGAATTATTTGAATTTCTTATAAGTCCTCACTACCCAAACCCACTTAAACACCAGCTCAACTCAAACATGTCCAAATCTTTTCAAGTTGGGTTGGGAGAAATTTTACCAAGCAATGCCAAGCATCTCGAGCAATCGAGCTACATGAAAAATCCTAATGGGAAAATTGCATTGTTGTTAAAAATGTTTGGGAAAACATTTCCACTACCACAAAATATATCCAAATAAGATGCCTCATAGTTAACGATTATATCAAAAAAGTGACAAATAAAAGAGGTAGAGAATACTTGACGATTGTTCTGAAACAAACGTCAAATATTTAAATATATACTTGATGTTTATTTAGAAATAATCATTAAATATATAACATATACATATTTAATGCTTGTTCTAGAATAACCGTTAAGTATATACCTAACTGTCACGCTCCAAAAATAGAGTGACCGACACAGGTGCGAACTACATCACGCATTTCCGTAAGCCTTAAAATGAAAATTCCTTCCTTTTAAAAATAATTAGATTATATATATCAAAATAAAATTCTAACAACAATCTATGTGGAGCAACTAATCTTTCTTCTATATTTAAAATGTATGAGTACTAAAATATTTATATAAATAGGTAACAATATCAAGCAAAATTTTTCACCCAATATAACTGTGTTGCCCTTTTTCGAGGTCGGTGATAGGATCAGCGTCAGCTAACGAATCTGAGATCCAAATAAATTTTTTAGTGAATATCGTCCCAATAAAAATAATTGATCATGAATAAATAGAAAAGTTCAAAATAATTATGTAACCAAAGAGGCAACTTCTTCCATAAAAAAAATTTCCATAAGCTCTGGAATGAAATGGCTTTATAAGATTTAAATAAAATCGTAAATCATTGAAGTATCATAAAAATTGTTATTATCACTTGATTTCAAGAAAGCATGTAAATGAAATAAATACTTATAAATAAGTTACTAAGTGAGAGCCAATGGAATATAAAATCACCAAATAATCAGATTATAATTATCGGGACTTATCAGAACAATTATCAAACATGGACACATAATCCATGAGGGTAAATAACCAAACGTGGCTTATGCCACGAAGACAAACGTGGACACACTAGTCCACGAGGGTAAGTAACCAAACGCAGCCAAAGCCACGAAACAAACATGGACACACAGTCCATGAGGGTACTGTTAATCAAACGCGGCTCAAAGCCACGAAATCAAACGTGAGTACAACACTTACGAATAACCATCCCTCCGTTCCATGTGCGTTGGCCATCGCATGGGGCTAGTACCTCCTATAAGCACCCTGCTAACTAGGTGGACCATGGCGCGCCAATGGCTAACAAAACTGTCATTAGCAACCGGTGTTCTGTATAAAGTCCCTTTCAAATCCATTTTTCAACATGCGAGAAAATCACCACTTTCAAAATAAAACTTCCATTTTCCATGACAAACTCGCATAAATCATTTTTCCATAGCAACAATAAAAATTTTAGAATGAAATCCCACAATCAAAGTCCAAACTTATATTTATTGAATAATTAACACTTTAAAAGTGATAAAGGTAATTTCATAAAATAAAGAAGTTTGATCAACAAATTATCTAATATTCACATTGTTGTTGTAAAAATGATTTGCATAAAATTGTAATATTTTATTAACAGAAAATTTTATTAGACAATTAGTTGGGACAGTATCCACTTACCTAAAATTCCCAGAACTAAAATTCACCTCTCACTGTTGATCAAATTTCTCCTCCTCCAAATATCCTATAAATCATATTCAAATTCTATTCAACCCTTAACTAGTACAATAATTTCTTTTAGCATTTCCACCACTAATCAACTATAATAAATCTGAAAATTTAAAACCGAAGTTATATATAAAAATATATTTTTCATCAACATTTGTTCAAGGCACCAAATATGTATCCTTTCCAATCTCCTTATAACAACTCTAGCATTTAAATATTTTCTCAACAAAGTATCAGTCTCCAAGAATTCCAATAATCATATATTATTAATTTCATAGTCAAATGTCCTTTGCACCTTTCAAGTTAAATTTATAGATTATTAACTTCTGAGCTAACTCTACTTCCCACATGAATTTATGAAATTTTTAAAGTCAAATTCAATTCTTCTAATAAGCATTTTAATAAGCATCTTATAGACACTAATCTCCCATCATCATATCTAACCTCTTCTCTTCCAACTTCATTTTACTAAATTCTTCAACATCAATCATTCCAATCAAGTTAATTTATTCTAAAAATTATGACCATATGAAGATTAGTATCAAGCTTTAAGATGGATCTTCAGCTCAACATTGGAATTTTTTATTCTCTGAGACACACGAGCAGCAGCCAAACACACCAAAATTATATAGCTTCAACCATTAAAAATGCCCGCACAAAAAAGTATCAAGATGAAGGTTTAAAATTTCAGACATGAGTCAGCAACCATAAAGAAGAGAAAAAAAAAAGAAAGCTAATCGAAATTAAGAAAGAAATTCAGGCACCGACCGCAGCATACAGGACACGATTTTTTTTTCCAGCGTCAGTTCTATCTCTTCATCCATTCACACGTACAGAAATCTTCCAAGGAAATGAGATAAGATCAGGTTTCTAACTTAAAGGAACCACACGCACCAGCAGAGAAAGAAGGAAATAGCTTCAGGTATGAACAGTAGAGAGGAAGGACTGCCACCATACATCAAGAAAAATAAACAATATGACAGGACGAGCAAGAGGAAGAAAGAAATCTTAGCTCACCCAATCAATTACACACACATGAAACAGCGAGGAGAAAAGAAGAGAAGTCAAACATACTTGAGGTAGTGATAGAGGAGGATGAGCGATGGTAAAACAGAGGAAGAACTCACAGCCGCAGAGGAAGAACTAGTGACAAGCACACCAGCAACGATAACAGTGACTCACACGAACAGCGCATGACCAGTGATTGAGAAGGTAAGAGGCAGAAGTCGGCGAGAGATAGAGCAAGGATTTGGGATCAGCTTTCTAACTCTCTCTCTGCTCTCCCAGAATGTTCGAAGAAGGCCAAGAAAAAGAAAAAAAAGCCTGATAAAGATGAGGGCAGATTTGTAATTTCATAAAGTATAAAAATAAAAATAATACTCCTTAGAGGCTGATCAGATTCAAACCTGAGACTCTTTTAATGGACTATCTAGATGGTTTCCACTACACTAACTTCTTTTTTTGTCAAACTCATCCTAAAAATTAATATAAGTACTATTAAAAGATATATTTTTAAATTTTATATAAAATTCATAGGTCATTACACTAACATACTTGATAGTTATTTCCAAACAAGTGTTAACTATATAATATTTAAAAAAAGATATCTATTTGACACTTGTTTTGTAATAATCGTCAAGTTTGTTAGGTATATACTTCACAGCTTCACAGTTATTCTAAAATAAGTGTCAAATAAGTAATGCTCTACAAAATTTTCTGTATAACCTCAAATATTGTGTTTTAAAATCACTTTTTACCTTTATTTTTGTTACGCATTCTACAACACCCATATTCCTTGAAAACACACGCAACCCCTCCAAAAACCACTTTTTGACAATCCAGTGGCCAAAAACCATCATTTTGCACTTCAATCTTCTTGGTTTTTGGATTCTCGATGTCATTGTGCTCATAGGTGCTAAAGGGTTAATCTGCCACTTCTATTGTCATTTGTTTATAGGTACTTGTGGGCATGCTTGTGTCTTCTTCCTTGTTTTGAATTTGTGGGGTTATTGATTTTAATTTAGGGTTGAAAATGTGTGATTTGGATGATTTTTTTTTTTTTTTGCTTAGAGCTGGCTATTTGTTCTTTGAATGAGCTTGAACTTGATTGTGTTGTTGATGTCCATAAGGTGTTTGTTAAGATGCGTAAGAAAACTTGAATGCTTCATTCATGGGAATTATAAGAATTAAAATTTGTACAATTCACACTTGAATGCTTGATTACTTGAATGTTGTGTTGAGTATACTATAATTTGCAAAATTTGATTGATTACTTGAATGCAAAATTTGATTGATGGAATGCTTAATTACTTGAATGTTATGTTAAGAGGGCATCAAACCTTGGTAACTCTTGTTTTTAAGTTGTTATGCCATCAAAATTTTTTTTAATGGCTAGTATTTAAAGTAGTAGCAATGAAAAGAATTTTGTAGATTAATTTAATTATTAGTTTAATTAGTATGTGCATTTTTCTTTTTTATTAAAAATTTCACAATTCTTTATTAAAAGAATAACTGAAAATGCAATATATTTTTAGGATTTTACTATTCACACAAACTTCGCTCTTATTTTGTGAGATTATATATTGGTGGTGTTATTGTTATTGTTGTGGAAAATATAATTTTTCTAAGATCATAAAACTTAGGAAATACTCAATTTTAAGCTGTTACGCTGTCAAATTTTTTTCAATTATTGTTTGTTCTGTTGGATAGGCTAGCACCCAAGAGAGAAGGTAAATTAAGTTACACTTAATTTTTTTTGGAGAACTTAGAAGAGAGGAAGATAAATGTAAGAAAAGAGATTTATCTTGATTTAGCCCAAATCTTAGTTTATGTCTAGTCCTCAAGATTACTCTTGAGATTTTTAACTATAATCACGAGCTTAAGTGGGTGCTTGCCACCTCAGTATAATTTACAAAACTTGACAAGTTTTGTATCAATAATTCAACCTTTTTACAACTAGTAAGTTGTTAGAACTCACTTAAAAAAAATCCCTTTTTAAGATTTTAGCTTGTTCACATAATAAAGATCTCTCAAAGATAAACTCTCTAGAAAGAGTAGATTAAGTACAAATGAAAGCTGAAGAACTTATGAGAGCTTTTTTATAAAATTTATCAAGAATGATAAATGAATGAATGCAAGACTTTGATGTACAACTTTGAAAGCTTTTTGCGAATGTTCAAATGATGAATAGTTCACTTAAAGATCATAATTCTTGTTCTAGATTTGAATTGTATATATATATATATATATATAGTTTTGACAGTTGATAGACTGTTAGAACAATAATGTAGCTGTTAGTGACATTTCTTGCAAGCAACTATGAGATTCATGCATAAAATGAAGCAGGAAAGTTCTAGTTAAGCATATGTGACAATTCAAGTGTGAACATCAAGGTGACTCACACGTGTTTTGTAAGGATAAGAAGATGCAAACTATTTTGTGTGATAAAACAGGCATTTTACCTTGAAGCTCTCACATGTGAATTAGCTGGTAGAATGCCAAAGCCAATTAGGGTGACGAATCACACGTGGGACCATCTAACTATCACGTGTGAAATAGTTAGTTATAAAAAACAAATCATTCCAGAAGAAATCACACGTGAAATACTCTACCTCTCATGTGTGAAATGGCTAGTTTACAAGGCCAAGCCATGTTGTTAGACATATCATGCATGGAACCAATATGTATTCAAGCATGGGTTGCATGATTAAAAAGACTCAGATTAATAAGTGATAAATTACGCAAGTATAAAATATGAAATAGGCTTGAAATGGCTTAAGACTCATTTAGGCTAAATGTGTTCAAGAAACTCAGTGACAAAACACATGTGAAGACTTTCCTTTTCAAGCATGAAATGACACTACACAAAATACAATAGAACACAAGGTGACAATTCAAGCTTGCATACACAAGGGTATCTTTCATGAATTAGATCACAAAAGCTTCATCAAAGCAACACATAAATAAAGGTGATAAATCACGTGTGGATCACTTCTAATTCATGCGTGAAATGTCATCTAGTATGCCTAAAGTGACAAATCACGTGTGAAACCATTTTGAATCGTGCATGAAAAGCTCAGCTTCTATGATCCAATTCAAGCATGAATGACATTACTTTTAAGCTTGAATTATCTAAGACAAGTTCTAAGATGCATAAATAAGACTAATGAGCTTAAGATGATGCATTCATTTTAAGATTGATAACATGTGATTAAGCTCTCATAGTTTTCACATTGAATCTAAGAGAAATAAATAACTTATTCTATAAATCTTCTTCTCTTAATTCTTTTATGCTTTTGAAAGTTTTGTCTCATGTATGAATCTTTATGTATCTACACTTATAATACACACGTCTTCTCTTAGTTTTGTAATCATCAAAATATATGATTTAGCATGTTCAATTGATTAAGTATAACACTATTAGATTAGAACTTGTAGGATGCAATTTTAGTATCAAGAGAAGGCATAGAGCTCGAAAAACTTTTGTTTTTAAGTTGTTATGCTACCAAATTTTTTTCAAATGCTAGCATTTAAAAGATTTTATCCTTAGGATAAAATATTTTATATATTAGGTTAGTTATTAGTTTAATTAGTTAAAAATTCATGACAAGATTACAGAGGAAAATTTTAATGTGACTAGTGACTTGTGAATTACCATTTCTCTTTTTGGATTAAAGATCCTAATCTTTCTTTAATTCTTCTTAATATTTGTGAGTCACTAATCATATTTTTCTCTTAATCTTTCATGGTAGATTGGAATTATGGATAAGAAATGGATGTCTGCTAATCATCTATCAACAGCTATTGGGATGGGGTTGAAGACTTCATTAAGTTTGTAGTTAAGCATGTAGAAAACCTTACCAAAATTGTTTTCCTATGTTTAAAGTTCTATCTTGTGAAGTGGGCTAGTCTGGATACTTGTGAAGAATACTTAGTAATTAATGGGATGGATCAAAGTTACAAGTGTTAGACAATGTATAACAAGGAAAGGGATGATATTGGCTGTAGTTGGGAGCATATTGAAAGCTATTCATCATATTTTGATGATTTTGACACATGTACACTTGAGGAAGATTATCTCAAATAGATGGCCAAAATGATTGAAGAGGACCTTGAGGATTTTTTAGGAATGTTTGAGAAGTTGAAAAGTAAAGCGGAGACATTGGTGTACACTGGTTGTTGTGCATTAAAGTTGTCAGCAGTACTACTAAAATTGTACAACATAAAAGAAAAATATGGATGGAGTGATGTGTTCTTTATTGAGTTTCTTGGGTATTTGAAAGCAAAATTACTTCCTAATTAAGGAAAACAAGTTTCCTTGCTGGACATATAACACAAAACAAGTGTTATGATCAATTGGCATAAGTTATAAAAAGATATGTGTGTGTGTGTGTGTGTGTGTGTGTGTGTCCCCTAATGATTGCCTTTTATTTTAGAATAAATATGCATCATCAACCAAGTGTTTTAAGTGAAGTACTTCGTGCTACAAGCAGAATGGATTGAGTCTAGTAAATGCACTATGGTATTTTTCAATTGTGTCTTGATTTAGACGCATGTATAGTAGTGCAAAAGTTGTGAAAAGCTTAACATGGAATGAGCATGAAAGGATTAAAGACAATATGCTTTGTCATGTTGATTTTTCATAATAGAAGAAGATTGATCGTGAGTGACTTGAACATGTAATCTTTGAATTAATTGTGTCATTTTTGTTTAAGTTGATTAATCTTTGAATTGTGTTATTTTTGTTTAGGTGATGAATCTTTAAAATGATTGTGTTATTTTTGTTTAAGTTGATTAATCTTTGAATTCATTGTATTATTTTTGTTTAAGTTGATTAATTTTTCAATTAATTGTGTTATTTTTATTTAAGTTGACTAATTAATGAATCAATTGTGTTATAGATAAATGGCTTTTGATTCTGAGTCTACTAAAATTTCTCTATCAAATCCTGCTATAAATTCTACTATTGCTTTATCCTCATAGGAAAAAAATTAGAGCAAGGATATATAACATTTAGTGAGGCTTGACAGTAATAGAAGATGTTATAAAAAAAAGAGTTGCAGGAAAAAATATTGCCATGTAATGGAACAAGAGAGGGAAAGCTATCAGATCTTCAAAGTTTATAAGTTATATTGGGGTGGTGGCAAATACTACTATGTCTATCACAGTGAAATCATAGCATAAAGTCAATCATGCCATGAAGATGTTGTTTGGGAGATCGTGGCTATGAGTTGTATTTTACCAAGTTATAGTTTATTATATTTTTAATTTTAAATTGATGCTCCTTACATGATTATTTTATTTTGCAATCAAGATTTGAAATTGGTGAGACAAGAAGGATTTCATCCTTCAAAAGTTGGGAGGGCATTAGGCTTTTTCAG